TTGCCATCAAATGGCACATAGAGCCTTGTTCTGATGTCCAATTGAGAACCTGCACCAGAACCAGGACTACACAATGCACTGCAGAGGTCAGATGCCTCCCAGTATTCCAGTTAGAAACAGCCAGGGTCACCCTGGGCTCATCTTCAGGTGATGTCCTGCACAGACAGGGTTTCACAGAGAAGCATAATAGGCTTTTGGCAGGATGGAGGTACGTGATCTCCGTATGGTACAATTGTGATCTCCGGCAAAAGCTGTCAAAGAGAATTTCTGAGCCTGTGAAGGTTTGGAAGGAACTTCTTAGACCATCAAGCTGAAAGTAAATGAAGTTTTGTGTGGGTGCCATAGGATAAAAAATCTAAATGAGATATAAACACAGTAAGGTGTGCATCTTCTTACAGCTCTCTGAGTTGAAAGCTGATGTCAGAGAATTCATAAAAAGTATATGATTAAATTGAGAGGAAGTGAACATCTAAGTACTGAGTGGTTTAGAACAGATAAAATTACATGGTGACATGAGGTTTCTGGAGTTAAATTTTATTCAGGCACTTCTGAATTTGTTGCTATGTTTCTATGTTGTGTGTTGTTTGTTTTTTTTTACGGTAAGCAGCAGTGTTCTCATACAATAAAATGACTGGAGTTTACTTTGTTTCCATTTCAATCCATCTCTCTATAGTAACAGTACCTTTTAGATATGATTTCACAGTCTCTGTCCCTAGGGTCAGAGAAGCAATCATGAAGTGTTTCTTCAGTCTTAAAATACGTATAACAGACTAAAACAAGAACAGTATTTGAAATTCAATGAATGTGCTTTTCATGGGACATGCAGCCATAAATTTTAAAAAGAGAGTGGTAACTGAAATATAGATCTTCTCAAAATAGATAAGATTTGGATAATGTTTTCAGTGGAAACAGGATTTCAACCAGTTATGACCACCAGGAAAGCTGTTGTGATGTATACATACTATTTCAGAACATGCTCTGAAATTTCTTCTTCCTGACACTGATCTGTACAACAAGTTTTATAAGAAAAAAATCTTTCCAGAAGGGTTGATGATTTGCTTGCTTTGATAACCTATGATTTAGGAAAGCCATTACTGTCAACAAAAATCTTATCAAATCTGACAAGAGGGTTTTACCAGCCATGGTGTTTGTTACAAGAAATTGACCTCTAAAAAGCTTAAAGAATTGTTTTGTTCAAATAATTATTTACTTTAGCTTTTCTTTCCCCCTGTGAACTGAGTATAGAGTAATGAACTTTTATCTTCATTATTTGGTACATGAATTTTACTATCACTTATGGTTTGCTTTGGGTTTATGTGTTTGGCTTCTTATAGATCAGAGAAAGCAATTTTCACTACCAACGCAATATGTAGCACACTAAAGAACTAACTGTGATACCTCTTTAAGATGCTGTACTCCTATTTCATAAATCTTTGACTTGTCATGTGGCATGAATGCTACTTCAAAGGAGAAAGATCCCTTTGAATCTCAGGAGCCTGAGTTCTGAATTTAATTCCTGGAGTGAACAGGCTCCTTAAGCATTTCTTGTAAGGTCTCTAGAGTGAAAAGGGAAGATTGTAGTAACAGAGAAAATTACCTAAAAAAATACTCTAGTTTTTCACCTGTGGTTTAAGGAAAAAATAGAATTCACAATTTCATTCGTTATAAGAAGAATTTACAAGATAACACCTCCTATTGCTAGAAACTACTAACTTCTTGTACAAGGGTAACCTTTTGCTTTTTACTACCCCTGGAGCACAAAGCGTGTTATTACCCAGATCACAGTTTTGTGGTTTGCTTTACTGATAGCAGCGATAGCAGCTTCCAGGGATAACTCCTAACTACCAAGTGATTTAAAGTGAAATTATGCTTACATGAAACAAAGGAAATTTCTCTAATTTTTCCCCCCAGCAGTTTTAGCATTATGATGTGAATCTGGGCATATTATTGGCCACTGGCTATTCAGTCACAAGTGACTGAAAGAGGAAAAATTAAGATATTCCATTTCTAAAATATGTTTTTTAAAATTAAGTCAGCATTTTATTTGCTTTTCCTGACTCAACCAGATTCATGTTTTTAAAAGAGAATCCCTTCCATAAACAAGAAGGCAATTCTCTTTAGAAAGGCAGTTCTTGTGACTCCCCATAGCTATCACCTGACAGATTTCTCTTGTTCTTATTCTATGCCCAAGGCAGTTTTTTTTAGAGGCTAATAAGCTCTGTTTTTTCCCCTCTTTGCTACACCAATGCTTTGCATTATCTCAGTGCAGCTATTTAAGCAAGCTTCTAAAGCAAGCAAGACTTCAAAGAATTTCATTCGTACTAGAGAACAGAAAATAAAATTATATTAAATAAGAATAGTAATGCCCATAGTAAGGGTGACCTTTTTCGTCCATTTGGTGGTAGTCACAGAGGAAGATTTCTGAATCTGTGAGAACCCAATCTTAAAAACAGTTACTACAGTTCAGTAGTATATTATCAAATATTTAGTTGTCCATTAAATTAGTATGTATGTACTACTTTGAGAGATGTACTAAATTTATTAAATATTATGTAGTTCAGAAATTCTAGAAGATTCAAAAATAAGGTTTCAGTCTTCCCTGGTTTTAGCAAACCCATAGAATCGGAGGCTGATTTTACTTTTAAAGTATTTCTAGAATAGAATATACTGAGAATTTAAAAATGATTCTGAGAAAAGAAAGCTTTCTTTCTTATTTCTTGCTCCCACTTTAGAAAAATTGAGTACAACTATTTAGCTTGATAATAAATTAAGATTAGACATAGCATTTTAGTTGGGAATTTATAGACCTGAAGTGAATCTACATTTCTAAGTAATTTTCCAAGCAATTTGTGAATGAGCGCCTGGGGTTGTACCAGATGTTGTCTCATTAGCCTTAACACTGTAGTATAAAGAGAAAAAATAAAATAAAAAAAAAATAAAGGAGCAATAATGAAAAATAAATAAATAGGAGTGTGTACAGAGCAGTATTTACTTGCATTGATGATTTTCTCTGCAATAGATAGAATAGTATTTCCATTATATAAAGCAACTGACAGACAGAAAAGTCTTCTGTAACATTCAACGTGTATTTATCATAGACTTTGCTATCACTTTATCAATTGATTTTCTAGTAAGTGTGGTTTTGGGAAAAGTTGGAAAGGAATACCGCTGTTACCTGCATGAATATATTTTAAAAATCTTTAAACTACTTTGATATTAAAGGAAAAGTTAGAATAGTTCATAACTTATCAACTGGCAGGTAAAGCTAAAGTGTTGAGTACTACATAAAGGATAGAAAGAAGACAGGCAAAGTATATGAAATATTTCTATTCTTTGTTTTACTTTAATTTTCTGCATCCTTCTGCTAACTACTTTTAGTGCTGTAAATTCTCTAGCTTTTCAAACTACTGGCAGAAGACATCTATCTAGAGACAATCAGGAAATCTGAATTGAATTTTAAACTGGATTAATTAAACTACATTAAATCCCTGTGTAAATACTCTTCCTCAGAATTTAAATGGCTTTTATTTAATAATCTTTGGAAGTGAGTTAAATTAAATCAAATTAAGGCCTCTTTAATATTGCTTGAGAATGTCCATCCCATAACTTCAAAGTAATAAAACTGCCATACCTAAAATTCAAACCCTTTGTTGTTTTGGATTGCTTTTCCTGATCAGGTCCACATGGACAAGCCACCCCTCTAACAATTTTTACTACTATTCACAGCCTTTTTCAGTCTGGACTTCTTTGATTTCCACAATTAAAACCTGTGTTTATATAAGGCTTTTGCTTTTATCACCTGATGTGAGAGAACTTACATTAAAAAAGATCTAGAAGATGTCTTCCATTTTCCCCTTATTTAGTTGTTAAAGTTTAATTTTAAGCAGATTATGGATGGACCATCTTATTCAGCTTTCAAAAATAGCTCTTATCTCTTAGATTCAGAGTTTTTCTGTGGTAAGCAGCTAGAGAAGTATTAGTGTGCTGAAAGATTTTTAATTCAGTAATGTGTTTACATTTGTCAGGATTTCTGAAGCCATCAGATCTTGGCGCTGATTTACTTCCATATTTAACCATGTAGCATCTTCATATCTTTTTCACAGCATAAAATGAAAAGGTAATTGTTATTGATGAATGTGCCTGCTAGTCGTCTCACCTTAGCAGAGAGTAGTAATATAGCATACTTATGTATTTACAGAAGCTGGGCATGTCAATGTAGCTACTGGCCCTGAAGACAAGCAGAGTTCAATGCCTCCTACAAGCAGATTGCTATACTCTTCAGGCTGATGGCTAAAAAAAGAAAATGTGTAGCCTTTGGAGAACACATGTTGCAAAGCATGTAATTTAATACATTTCTTGTTAACAGAAGTAAGCACCCTAATTTGTTCTGGATGATGAATTGCCTTTAAGTAGACCCTAAATATGTCTAAATATAGTAACAAAATGACAAATATGTTGTCTCATTGGTTCAATGCAGAATGGATTTACCAGTGACATTCTGTGGCAGCCATGGATAATGTCTTGTTTTTATTAAGACTCAGATTTTAAAAGCAGAAAGCCTACGGTACTTCATTCTAAATTTTTGCATCATGATTGATAGTGGAAAAAAACCAGCCATGTGGCCTCTTGTCTTAACTATGTAGTACTGGTGAAGAGAGAGAGGGAGAGACAGGCTTCACAAAGCATGCAGCTGTCTGTACTTCAGATGTGGTGCTTTGCATCAATTGTAGGCCCAAGAGTGACAGGAATGTGGAATAAGCTTGTACTTCCAGAAGCATAACTGCTGGTTCTTCAGAAACATTATGTTAGTGCTCCATCACTCACTTTGACCAGATCATTAATGATCATCAGACCAAAAATATAATTTAAATAAGGGCAGATACAGACAATGCCAGTCAGAAATGTGTATCACGTCTCTGTGTTTCCTTTTTTGCAGTGGAGTATTAGTTATGTTCTGGTTAAACTTACCACTCGTTTTGTTTTTTCCTCTTTTACTGTAGTTTATTATGCTGACATACATCTTTATGTTGGCCTGGCTTGGAGTTACAGCTTTTACATCTCTGCCTGTTTACATGTACTTCAATCTGTGGACCATTTGCCGAAATGCCACCATAGTGGATGGAGCTAATCTCTGCTTGGATCTTCGCCAGTATGGTATGTGAATGAAGAGCACTAAATATAAAACAAGATTTCATGAAAGAAAACATCACATTGTTTTGCTTTCATGTATCTCAAATGAACTGTTTCAGTGTTTCTGAAACAATTGTTAAGCATCTCTTTCTATCCTTTTACACAGTAGTCAAAGCAGTCTATTAAAAATGCACTGCATTTATGGGCCTGACAAAATTTAATCAGCATTATTGATCTTCCCAGAGTAGTGAAAATTTGGCTTAGGGCTTCTGTTTAGTCTCTTCTTTTGAAATTGCTGGAACTTCTCTAAAATGCTTGATTAGTCATCTATCTGAAGAATGACTCTTTAATCATGTGGTAGGACACTGATTTGCAGTTGTGAGATCCCAGGTTATCATCTCTTTCTGCAGAGGTGAACCAGGCAGGGCAAAATCATTGCTTGCAAAGATTTTGATGAGGAGTGACAATACAAACAGTAACATTCTAAGAGGCTGGTGGAGAAAAAGTGGGGCTAAATCCTGAATTGCGAAGGCTAGAATAAAGCTGGGATATGCACATATGTGTGTTCTGATGAGATGGGAAATTTGGACAAAAAGGGATTTGGAATTGTAAAAGATCTGAGAATTCTCGTGTTGGTGGTGATAATTCTACAAAATATTTCACATTAGTATTTTCACATGGTGGGGAGAAAAAAACCACTTTTTTAATTTATTGATTCCCCCCAGCATAAGTGAGTTGGCAAAGCAATAATCCGCACCGATCCCAAGAGTATTAATTCTTCTTTTTATGACTTTTTATTTTGTTAATATTCATGGATATTTTTTATTATTAATTCTATTTAAAATGCACACAGAACATTAACATGAAATGTATATTCTGCAAGCATACCTTGTTCCTATAAATTCAGTGTAAAAACGCTTATTACTGATAGGAAGGAACAGTACCATTTTTCATAACCAAGTTGTACCAGTTCTCTTCAGGCTTTGATTTATTATTTGGACATTATCTAAATGAAACAGTGTATTAGACTCTAGTTATTCTTGCTGAAAGAGAAACTATTATTACATTAAAGTATGTGTTTGGGTAATATTTTTTTATAGCTTATGAAAGAAGCTTTGTACTAGATAAACATGTTTGAACACAATATACAGCACATTTCTGCACATGAGAGTAGAGAATGTTTGTGAACAACATGATGAGTACATGTAGTGGTTGCAAACAAATTTCTGTTGTTTTCATTATTGTGCTAATCAAAATCAGGAATGAGGATATTTTCAGAAATGGCTGAAAAATTATTATCTGCATGTTTCCTAATAGAGCTTTTACTAAATAGGTTCTGTGTTAGTTTTGTGATAGCTGAAATTATCTAGAATCTTAGATCACAGCATGGTTTCTGTTAGAAGGGACCTTAAAAATCATCTAGTTTCAAGCCCCCTGCCATGGGCAGGGACACCTTCCACTAGACCAGGTTGCTCAAAGCTCCACTGAACCTGACCTTGAACACTTCCATGGATGGGGCAGCCACAACTTCTCTGGACAACCTCTGCCAGCACCTCACCACCCTCACAGTAAAGAATTTCTTCCTTATATCTAATCTAAATCTACCTCCTTTCAGTTTAAAACCATTCCCCCTTTTCCTGTCACTACATGTCGTTGTAAAAAGTCTCTCTCCAGATTTCTTAAAGGACCCTTTAGGTATTGGAAAGCCTCCCCTTTCAATATAAGATTTCCCCTGAGCCTTCTCTTCTCCACGCTGAACAACCCCAAGTCTCAGCCTTTCTTAGTGGGGGAGGCGAACCAGCCCCTAATCAACAAAAACCTGACTTTAACAAAAGCTCTGCAAAGCAGTCAAGAATTTGTATTTCTTAGTTTTTCTGGCTTATACGAAGTAAGCTTCTATATGACGGCAATATTAACTACTGTAAATATTTATTCTGCTCCCAGGTATTGTAACTATTGGAGAGGAAAAGAAGGTTTGCACCTCTTCAGAAAGTTTCATCAAGATGTGTGACTCTAATGAGGTGAATATATGCAATATTTTTGGCAAATCATAATATATGTTATAGTAGGAAGTAACTGATGTGCGTTTTCTTGCTCCTAATGTTCTAATTCTAATAGCTATGGTGATGCAATAAAATCCCAGTGGAAAATAGTCAGCAAGGACTTTCCCCAGTCTTTTACCATATACCAGATTTAGTCCGTGCCATTTCTCCAGACATTTGTTTTCTAAAACATGCTTGTATTTTTTTTTTATGAATTCCATTGTCACAAATATTTTTACTGAGATGTTTTTGAAAGCTAATGCATCTGCTGCACAATGAATAGGTCTATACAATGAATCACTGTCTGAAGATCTTATGATTACTGTTGTGACAGGAGAGTAAAGATTTCAAATGGATTTGACCAAATCTTGCAGTGTGTTGGGATAATAACTCCTAGTACATTTTTCTTCGTAGTTTTTCCCTTAGGCAAAAGCCACCTATTTCAGCCCAGCTGAGGTTCCTGGTCTTGTTGTTTTTAAATGATCAGAGATGAAGACAGGACAAACAAAATTACTTCTATCCACATAAAAAGAGAGGCTAAAATCTTGATCCCTCTGAAATCAGAGACTGCTTTGTTAAATGCTTCATGGGTCTTACTATGTTTGAATAAATCTTCTTAGACTGAACGTACACAATCTGCCTTTATACCAAAACCATCTAAGAAAATGCAACCCTTGCTGTACAGTAACACTCAGTGGCTGCTGGTAAACCAGGTCACTGAAATTAAAACAAATGTAGTTATTTTATTTGGAATGGGGAAAGGAAGGTAGTTAACTTAGATTATTTAAGAAACCTGTTTTATATGACTATGGATACATTTTATTGAAAAATTTGGGAAGGAAATAAATCAGTATATGAGGATGTAAAGCTACATCTAATGAAGGGAAATGGGGTTTCCTTAGGCTGTCTCTGCCACTAGAGAAACCACCACAAACGTTTATATATCCCATAAGGTGGGGGGAAAAAAGTGCAGGACTGTTTATTTTTAAATAATAAGTTTTCTTAATATTTTATTATTT